TTTGTTATGCGTTCATAATATTCTATTTGTACACTCCTTGAAAATGAAAATATAAATTTTCGAAACATCGGAATAAATAAATATTCAAATGACTTTATATAAAGCTGTAAAAATCTTACTTTTACTTTGTGCATATTTGTTAAAGATGTCATCCCATCAGATATGATGAAATTGATGAGAAACAGTGGTCGATCATTCTTAATTACTTGCTGGTATATATATCTGATAGTCTCTACAGTTAGTTGACTTAACGACTGAATCAGATACCAAAGTTGTCTATAGAAAATTTCTTTCATTGTCCTAATTTGAGGGTAAATTTTTTTGAATAAGTTGTTTGCACAATAAATGCAACCGGTTGACAAACTATTATCTCTTCATTTATTAAAGTTGTTACTTAAATGATTAAAATATTTGTCTAGTTTTGATAGTTGTTGCGTTATCAAATTCAAATATTCTTTTTTTTGTTATAATTGTAAAAGAAACTTCATGTGACTTTAATAGCAATGTGGGCGAAATTCATTCATTTTTATGATTCATAAACTTGGAATGTTAATATTTACAAATCTATATCTGTTTTCACCTGATTTACTTCTCAATGTTGTCTCAATTTTCTGACTCTTCTTTATGTGTGTGTTTGAAGAGACTTGTTTTTGTGCCTGAAACGTTCGAGTTCTCTATTTCAAAATCTACACCTACATTCTTCAGTAAAAGAAGAAATGCTCAATACTAAACATCAAGTGGACAAATTTTTGTCAAATATTATTTTTCTGTTAAATATTTCTTTTTTTCTTTTTTCTCTGATTCTTTTAATTCAAAAGCTTTTTACCTTGGTGATCATAGCATACGCATATATACACAATTGGTAATGCTTGTTGCTTATTTTCTTTTCTTTATTAGTCGATAAATGAGCTCTATGCCTATTTTTTTTTCATCCGCTTTTTATTTACCTCCATATTAAAATAGTATAGTTGCTCAGGATTTATTATACTAAAGAAACAAATAATATTTCTTTGACTTTGACTCGTGAAAGAAGGAAAAGAGTCCATAGATGCATTTATATAACCACAGTCATTCTTTAAGCTGTTTTTATTCGTGTGTCTGTCACGTTTTACATAACAAAAGTTTCAAAAATATACTATTGGATTAATAAAGCGAACTCACATAAAAAACATTTTACTACCGAATAAAAAACAGAAGATGGTAATCAGAGACAAAAACAACTTTATTTTTTTTATTTTTTTTTATTATTTTTTTAAATGAATCACAAATTTTTGTACTGTTTTTACTCTTAAAAAATAATAAAATTTACTAGTGTAACAATAATACTAGCTTGATATTTTACTATACAATAAACTGTTTTTTTGCATATCTGAATTTCTATCTTTATTCTATTTTCGATTTAAAATTTCTTTTATAAATCAGATAATGGCGTATACAAATTCTTCTTCTCATCGAGCTTCATATTCACCACGAACTTCAAATTCACCACGGTACCATATACCAACACGTGACAATGATTATGAACAACGAGATGCATCGAGGCAAAGTGGAAGACAAGGAGTAAGTAATTGGCAAATTTTAACGATTAGGGTACATATCTTCAATATTTATTTTTTATCGACAGTACTTAGTACAAAAAATGAATAATAGTAGTTTCTAGTGATGCAATCTTACAGAAAGGCTTCACAAAAAAATGTAACTATTAACTACGTTGCGCAAAGATTAGAAAGTTGCCCAACCAAAAAAGTTTTCGATTTTCGTTTTCTCGATTTTTTCCTTTGAAACGCACTTGATTATGGATAATTTTCGATTCTGATCATGATATGAATTTCATAACCGTTCGACTCCATATGGTCTTTCTAAATCGCTCACTGATTCGAACAAAATCTGTTAGTGTCAGTTTAAAAAACAATATCAAGTTTCCTATGTACGCGCAAGGTATTGAAACTAACAAACAAGTTCTTACCAAATTATAATTTTTGTATCGAAAAAAATCTCTCTTATTTTAGCTAAATAAAAGAGCTTCTGAAAGGCCGTACGAGAATGAGTGGTTATGGGATTTAGGATCAACATTAAAACTTATCCATAATCAAGTGTGCTCAATAAAAATCAAAGTGATGTTTGAGAAACATCTTTTGTGAGTGAAATAGCAACCAGGAAAAGTTAAAACCTTTACATCTCTGTGATTTAAATTATTTATAGAGAATTTTCACTGATAGATCATAGAACACTATTTCGATAATGTTACGAATGGCTATCGATTAACTGACGTCTTAATCTTCATACTACACACACCATATAGAAATGAGAAAAATGGGAATTTTTGAAATTATCTTCCGAGGAAATGTATAAGCGAACTAAAATTACATATTAAAAACATAATTTTAGATCATTCACCTACAATACATAGATTTGAACAGGATTCACTTCAAATTTGTACGTTCAGGCATTGCTATGAATGACTTGAAAGTAAAAAGTAGATGAGGAGAAAGATTAGATATATAATTTGAGCGCTAAAAACACGTTGAGTTGATGCGTTTATTCATTACATACGCTTTGAACTGTATAATCCACTAAAATAATTACATAACAACTAATCGGAAGCTGTGTTTGATAATAGAAATTGGATTGCTGATCACTGTGTGCATCGTTGTTGAACACGATGCATATGTGCACACGAACGATATTAACAACGGTTGCGATGTTAGAGTTCGTAATGAATTTAGTAAAATGATGATTTGCGAGTATGTGATACAGATTTGGTGACGATCCTTGTGATGTAGTTACTGAAGATGGGTGATTTAAATCAGAATATGTAGCTGCATAATTTTGATAACTCGTATTGTTGACGAGTTTCTGTATTTGTTGTTGTGTGTGCAAGTAAAGAAAAAAATTGTTAAATGTATTGGTTCAAAAATTTAGTATTAGTCAATTGTGCTTCATTGGTATCTATGAGTGGTCCTTCATTCTCTGATCATCAGTGCTGTAAATTCCCCTTATCATTGCCTTCGGGTTGTATGACATTCAACCTATCTTTTTCTCTAATCTCTGTGACAATGCATGTGAAGAAGAACGAGTAGATGACTAGAAAGCAAAAAGTGTGTGACAAGAAAGATCGAAAGAATAACAATACAAATATATTTGTCATATATAGTATCTCTCATGAGAGTAATAGTTATAAGTTATATTTAGATTTTTGGAATGTAGAGGACACCTACTCCTATTAATCATTATACTGTGTTTTTTCTTTGGTTTATTTATTTAATAAAGCAAAATAAACATATAGACTATATCCAGAGGTGACAATTATTTACGTTTCTTTTTGTAGACTAAAGCAATAGTGCAGACGATGTAGATGAGTGAGCACAAAAATAAAAACAGTATATAGTATATATACGTAAATATTAAAAAAATTCTCTTGAATTTATTCAAAGGATGTGCGCGCTCAAGAGAAATGAGTGTACATCAAATAGTGGGCACTAAGAACAAGAGAAAGAGAGAGAGAGACAGAAAAAATGTTGTAATGCAATTAAATACGCAATGAGTACAAGCAACATATTGTGTGATGTGCAAGATATGGGACAAATTAAAAACTATGGAATAAAATACTGCTACGAAATACAATATAGGAGTATTATACTCTCTATTTCTTTCATTATTTACAACTCCTTTTCCTTCTAAATTAAAACTATAGTTTTTCAACTTTATGATGATGATCAGAGTAAATTTTTTTATGTTGTATTGTGTATATATATATCTAATACATTGTGTATTATACACTTTTTTACTTCATGCGTACATGTACATATACAAATATACACTTATATACAGTTTTTATCAAGCAGGGTTGAGATCATTCGTCACAAAAGTTTAGCTCAGTGTGTTTGTTAACATCAAACTCATGGAGAGAGAGAAGGAGAGAGAGAGAGAGAGTGACTTGTAGTATAACAAGTCACCCTTCTTCTTTATCCTTTTGCATTCTTGTTTCGTTTTTCACATTGTGTTTGTGTGTGTGTAGATATGCATGTTCCATGGGCGTTTTTTTTATGTGTTTGGTCTACCTTAGGTATTTCTACTATCTACTACACAAGCATACACACACACACACACACAGACACACATTTCTTTTTTTTTTTACCGCAACTCAACTCAACTCACACACACCGAAGTAATATTTCTTTGACAACAATTTGAAAAACAGAACAGATAAAGAGAATAACTATATGAGTATGAGTCGTACGTAGAATATAAAGAATCTCGAGAAAAAAAGAAAGAAAACGCGTTAAGGACAATTGTTACGACAGTTTTCATTACTATTTTGAATAACGGTCAAGAAAAAAAAAGCAATATGGCACAATGTTTTACATCAACTATTATCGTTTGTGATTAATCAAAAATACTAATAATATTGAAAAAAAATTATGGATGATGAAGTACGTAAAAGAAAGTTCAAAGCTTTTTACTTGAACAACTGTGAGTTAAAACTATCTCACACATTTATTTGTGGCTACTCATTTTTTGCGCATAGTACAGCAGAGGATAAAATTGAAATAAATTAACAAAAAAACGCATCCGATAGAACCATTGATAAAGTGAGATACGTCTGCATTTTCAAAACACAATCTTAAAATATAACGAGATATTGAAAACGTGAAAGATTATACTTAATTACAGCGAATCTAAAGATCTAAGTTCTGTTTTATGTTTATCGATGCATTCTACTGATCAAATCGATAAAAGATAATAAACTTAACTCCTTGGATAGTAATCGATTGTATTAGATTTTTGTTTGCGTAGTTTTGACTATTTAATACTTAAAAATCTCTTATCATTTTTTTTTTGAAATTTAATCTATCGTTTATGTTATGTAATGTATAGGTTGTTTATAATGGTGAATATACTCGTTCAATGAATAATTCATCGTCAAATCATTATGGACAAGATCATTTTTCATGTTGGCATTGTGATAGAAATTTAAGCGGATCAAGATATATACTCAAAGACGATCATCCATACTGTATTAAATGTTATGAAGACAGATTTGCGAATACATGTGAAGAATGTAGAAGAAAAATTGGAACTGATTCAAAAGTAAATTTTCAGTTCAATGGCATAATCGTCTCTATTTGGTTTCATTACTTTATTTTTTGTTTTTGTTATATTTTTTGAGGATTTATCGTATAAAGATCGTCATTGGCATGAAAAATGTTTTTTTTGTTCCATGTGTAAAACTCCATTAGTTGACAAACCATTTGGTTGTAAAAATGATTTGTTATATTGTGGAGAATGTTATAATCAACAATTTGCATCCAGATGTGATAAATGTCATCAAATATTTAAACCTGGTAAGAAATTTCTTGTCATTTTACTTTTACAATCATTATTTTGTACAGATATATGAGAGTGGCAATTTAGTATAGTGTTTTCTAAAAAAAACAATTGTTCACTACAGTCATTAAAGTGTGATATACTAATATTTCATAAGCGTGACGTCTTTATTTTTTAGGCACAAAAAAGCTTGAATATAAAGGTCAACAATTTCATGAACATTGTTTCACATGTTTTTCATGTTCTCAACCAATTGGTACGAAAAGTTTTATTCCAAAAGATCAACGAAGTTATTGTGTACCTTGCTATGAAGAACATTTTGCAACAAAATGTACTCGTTGTCAAAAGGTGAATGAGCATTTTGAATTATCTTAATAAAAAAAAGTAATAAAATAAATCAATTTGATACTAAATTTCAGGTGATCTCTCAAGGTGGTGTGACATACAAAAATCAACCATGGTATAAGAGAGAGAGAGAGAAAGATAAAATATACAAAGAACTTTCTATAATCTGTATTTATTCTATTAAGGCATCGTGATTGTTTTATGTGTACAAATTGCAAACAATCGTTAGCTGGTCAACGTTTTACATCACGCGATGATCATCCCTATTGTGCTGATTGTTTTGCAAGATTATTTGCCAAAAAATGTTATGCATGTAGTAAGCCAATTACAGGTACACAACAATAGTTTAAATATTAAATTGTATAGAATTTCTGTGCTGTATCTAATAGCTGTTTATCAAATCTGATTTATTCAGTTAATTTTTGTAAATATGTTGAGTTTTTTTTATTAGACAAAGTAGTTTAAAATATTTATCTTAGTCATATTGATCTGAAATAGTAGTCGATATAAAAATGATGATACAATAGCATTTCGCGTTTATTATATTAATATGCTGTTTTCTTCTTGTATTTTAGGTGTTGGTGGCACGCGTTATATATCATTTGAAGATCGTCATTGGCATAATGATTGTTTTGTTTGTCAAAATTGTAATAGTTCACTAGTTGGCCGTGGTTTTCTAACAGAAGGTTCGGATATATTATGTCCCGATTGTGGTAGACAAACAACGATATCAAATGCATATGAGCGTCGCGGAAGTGGTGTGGATGTATCTTATAAAAACTAAATTAGTAGAGAATTCGATAGTAATATACTGAAATTATTATTTTTGATTTATAAAAAAAAATTTAAGAAGCCGTCTATTCTATTCATGGTGTTATATCTATCTATTTTCTGTTCGATTTTTCTTTTTCAAATTGGCCATGTTGTGAATATAACCAAAAATTTGAATATATTAGCCTTATATATCACAACAAAAATTTATTCCAAATGTGTGACTGTGTGTATGTGTATAATTTTCTCTTCTCTTCCATAGTAAAAACTCCCTAAAATTTCTTTATACGAAAATGTTTTTTTGAATAGAATTGTTGTAAATACAGAATATTATTGGGATGCATAATACGAACTAGTTGTTGATTTTATTTCTCACATGGAGTTAAAGCCATGTTCTTCTGTTTTGTATTTTTTGCTATTAGACTTTACTTTATTATTATTGCTGATAAACCATCATCATTTTTTCTTTTTTTTCTTTCTTTCTTTTTTTCTTTCTTTCTTTTGTAATTATTATTTTTTATTTTTACTCAGCAGAATGATGACGGGAGTAGTAGCAGCGCTTGCTCTCTGTGTGCTATGATAATGTTTCTATTTGACGAAATTTAAACAGTGCAAAACGAAGAGAGAGAGAGAGAGAGGAATTGAATAAGCTCATCTGCTTTGTTCTAACCTTATTTTTATTTTAAATCATTAATCTCTCCATTATTGGTTTTCAAATGTGCTCGCTTTTGAATTTTTTTTACATTTTCCTTACAAATTCTACTGTTTCAATAGAAAACATGGTTGCGCATTTTTCTTATTGCTTTGCAGAAAAAAAATCGAGAAAGAGTGTGTGTTATTTTAGATGAGATCGCTGGAACTCACTCTTTTATCCAATAAACCTCCAGATAAATCGCTCGATAAAACCAATCTTAGGTTCAATCTTATTGTAGAACGTATAACAGTGTAACTAAAACTATTTTAACAATTTCTCAAAGGTCATGCGTTCCAACGTAAATTAATCTCCTATGCTACTAGAAACTGAAAAAAAAGTTATGTAAAATTATGCTACAAACAAGTGACGAAAAGAGGACTAATAGAACCGTGCCAGTAAGCGATTAAGTATACAATTGTAGGACCATTTATCATGCATTCTTGCTCCAAATATAAACTGTACATCAGGCTAAACAGTTGATAAAAAATTTTCCTGATGAAAAAATATCTTTTTCTCCGCAATAGCGATCTATAAGTTTCTAACCGTAGAGATTTATTAATGACTTCTTTTCTATGTAACTTTAGGTAAAAGGAAAAGTTAACAGGTTAAGTCAGAGTGATAATTTGATCAAAATTCACATCTTATCATCCTGTATTTAATTTCCAAGAAATACTGGTGACATTAGAAAAATAATACAACAGAGTAGGCGAAAAGTGAATGTTTAAAACTCTATTTATTTTCAACTAAGGTGGAACATGAAGAAACTGAGTAGTCAGTCTATCCAACTCTTGTATAATTGTTTTTTTAGAAATACCTTTAACAAAAACGAACTATGGAATTGAGCGTACAGTGGTGAGACTTCACTTGTGTGTGTCTCATTTTAGCGTATTGTTATTCAAGTGCATCTTATTTTAGCACGTCTTATTTGCATGCGTTTTCAATTACATCGCTCATTCTTGAAAATATTTTGAAACTTTTGAACCGTTTCTGTCACCACACTGTTATTAATTCCTAGTGGCTAGTAATCTTTTATTTCAGGCATTCCATTTCTACCAACACATTTAGTACAATTTACCTATGATGAGGTAATTGATTCAACACCCATTAGGTATACGACATAAAATGAAACCGTTTTATCATTATTTTTTAAACACCTGATTAAATGGGCAGTATAATATTGAAATATGAAATATTTTTGCTCAAGATAGTTGAACAAATAATGATGTTGAATTATAGCATGTTAAACTGTTATGTCTACTGTAAACGCAATCGACTGTATGGTAATGGATTGAAACACTTCAAGTACAATACGTCTTAGTTCAACATAATATTGAACGTTTACATACTGAACATATACAGGTTGAAAAAAAATTGAAATATCAAAGACTCAACAGAACAGTACAACGTGTAACAAATGATTTTAATCTAGGTCTTACTCAACCATTAGATTATGTTTTGGCAGTTGGAAGACATTTTGCTACTACTAAACGTACATAGAAGCCCTTCTTCTTAAAATGAAAATGCATTGTCAAAATAATGCTGACAAGCTTTTTGAAATTAAAATAAAATATTACTAGCCACTAAAAATTAATAACAAAGAGTGGTGACAGAAACGGTTCAAAGTCTCAAAATATTTTCAAGAATGAGTGGTGTAATTGAAAATGCACCCAAATAAGATGTGCTAAAATAAGATGCACTTAGATAACAATGCGCTCAAATGAGACACACTCATATGTCGTCCTCCTGCACACATTATTATTACTTAATATAGATTCACGGCTTAAATTTGCTTAAGATTCTTTTAATAACTAGTAAAAGCAAAATACATTTATCTTTAAAAAATCTTTAGCTATGAAAATAATGAAATGTTGTTGAAATGTAGGTAGACTTCTGCATTCCTTCACAACATACAAATATTTGAAATGGGATGTCTAATTGTTTTAATAAGTATACTAGTGAAGGAAATTAATGTTTTTATTCATTTTCTAATATCATTGGAAGAAAACTACGGTAGTTTTCTAACGTGTACTTCATTTGTACGTGCATTTTATCCATTTTTTGTTTTTACAATATGAAAATGTTTCATTCAGGTTATACGCCACCTGAATACAAAAAAAATTTTAGTCAATAATTTATTATTCTCTTTTCAATTTTCACGAGCTATTCACAGTAGTCTATTCAAAAAATCTCAATTAATTATAAATCGCGAATTTTAAAGGAAAATGGTTTCCAAAAGCGCACTGAATATTATTTCCTATTGCGGGCGTAACAGACAAATATGTACTTGTTTTTCCTTTAAAAGCTACATCACAAATTAGCAGGTATTCTAGGTATAGTGATTATGTATGATCAATAGAAAGTAGTGAAAACAAACATACTTAGATACTTCTTTACTCACCGTCTATAGTTTAGCTCATATATTTAAAGACAAAAAGTCTGTCATTAATACAAAAACTACAATTAGAACGGGAAAAAAAGTATTTTCGACTTTCTGCATCTATATCACATAAGAAAGACTTACATTAAAAAAATATAATCACAGATTATGTCCGAAAGAGTAAGACCGAGTGAGAGTGATAATTCTACTTGATTGACTATTGTCTAGGAACTGATATAGATAGATGAATATGTACAAAACTGTCTCGATACCGAATGGTCATGACCAGCATGGCTAACAACACAAAACAAAGAAAATCACTTATTAAACCTCAGAATCTCTTAAATAGTCTTCGTATCGACGATGTTTCGATCGTCTAGGATGAGCATCTTTTCGTGAATGTGGATTTGATGTTGGTGGACGAGAAGATCGTGACGCTTTTTCTTGTGTCGATTCCTGTTGTTGTTGATTTGGTGCCGTTTTAGTATTGAAAGCTTCAGCTAGTGCTAAAGCAAATCGCTGTGCATATTCTCGATTTTGAAACAAAAATGCATAACATTCCGTTAGTGTTTCATTTTCTTTTTGCCGTAAGACAATACATGTCGATACTTTTGAATATTTCATATCGTGCATAACATAGGATATATTCTCTAATGGTATTAAACCGTGCCGTTCATCAGTGTTATTTCGATGATCATCTTTATTTGTCGCTGTACTATTACTAAATGCATGTCTCAATGGGCTAAATGCTCTTGAATGTTCCGTTCGTTGTGGACTATGATTAGTTTTTCGACTTGAACGATCACGATGATGATGATTGGTTTTAGATAATCTTTGAGTTAATAAAAGACCTTTGGTATTTATACACGCTTCTAATGTAGGAAGATCAGCCATTGTTGACAATTGACGAGCACTCTGTACCATGCCGTCAATTGGTCCTCGTACAGCTTTAGCACCCCAAATTGCTGTACACGGTGTTCGTCCTAAATATTTGACTAAAAAATATTGTGGTAATAATACTAATATTTTTTTTCTTTCATGACTAATTTTATTAAAGTAATCATCAGTCGGTGTTCGAATATTTATTTGTCCACTAGCAATCGCTGATAAATGATCAAGTCTAGCTGATTCGGGTGTAAATGGAGCGGGTTCATGTAGATATATGTGTGATGGATCATTTAATTTTAAATTAAGTAAATCTGGACTCAACTCATCACTAGGTGTTTGTGGTTGGGTACCGGATCTTCTTCGTCCACCCGGTATACGTACTTGTGGATAGAGACGTCTTTGAAATGGAGTTGAGTTGATTGCACTACTACTTTCGGTTGATGGCGTTGATGAACGACTATTCTCTTTTGAATAGTAACGATTTTGAGAATTATTTAGTGTTTCTGATATGGTTTCAACGGATTGTAAATAAAAATGCATCGGATTATCTTGAGAAGAAGAATGTTGCTGATGAACATTTTGAGATACATGATGTTTCTCTTGACCAAAATAATCTACTGTTTCATCTGTTTGAAATGCATCATCAAAGTCATGATACAACTGAAATTTAGAGATAAACAAAAATAAAAACTTATCGCTAGAATAAGAAAATTTAATTAAAAATTTGTTCAAATCAATCTAATGATAATTTTTGAGAGAATTTTAACCGATAGATTTTTTCTTACCGCTCGTGCTCGATCCAATTCTGTTTGTTTTTTATCTGTGTTTTTTGCATGTGGAGGCATTATTGATGTATATTGTGCTTGATTATTATCGTTATGAAAAAATGTTTCTTGTTTTGCCATCTATATACGAAAAATAAATCAAATAATTTTTCTCGTAAATTTTCTTTGTTGTTTCTTTGTTCTTTGTTGTTTGAAAATTTCAAAATCAAAAAATACATGCTAAAAAACATATAGAATAAATAACATATGGTAAAGTTGAGGTGCTTTATTTATTTGATGTTGAGTATACTCATTCACATCCTACTATTGTTTTCTTTTGCAACTCATGTATTTATTTACTTAAAAAAAACATATGCACGTGAGTGAGGAACATTTAACAATTGTTTCTAATCAATTCTAATTTATAGAAATATAATTAAAAATGTAGATAACTACAGAAAATACTATTTTTGTTATCCTATCAAATCTAAGTACTTTTATTAATTAATCAAGATTTAAAGTTATATTGTAAAAAATATTGTAATATATTGCTCATTTTCTTTTATGTAATATAAGTAAATACTTTAAAACTTGTCTAATCGTTATAATATGCTTTCACTGTCTTTCATCATGCTTACCATTCATCATGCTTACCAGTTATTTGATATAATTGTCACGATTTTAATTCTCTAGTACATAATTGTTCAATGACAACATAATTTATGTTGACTAGTATCTTTTGGATTAGATAAATAGAAGAAATATATAATGTTTTTTTTTCCATATTGATAGTAAAAAAAAATAAACTAAATAATAATATCAAATTTCATATTTTTTCTTCTTTGGACAAAAATGTTTTTATACTGTATTGATAGAACTAAAAATTTTTTAAGTATGTCGTTCTTTTTTGTATTATTCTAAATGTTTTTTGTTGTTCCCTTTAGGAAATAATCTAATTAATAGGATTATAATACTGATAATGATAATATGATAAATAAAAAAAGAAGAAAATCAGTGAAACGTATTTATTGATATACTCAATCATTAGCCAACATATAATAATACAAATCATAATGCAAAATGCTGTTTATGCATGAATTGTTTGTCACTCTCTCTCTCTCTCTCGTTCTTCAATTCCACTCGTCTTTTGAGAATTATTATTCGTCAACAGTAGATGTATGCCACTTTGTATTTTTCTCTCTATTGTACATTCGATTAAGTTTGATGAATTACATAAAAAAAAAATAGACGTTGGCGGTTGACAAAACAAAACTTACTTGAAATAAATGCAATACACGCTTTTAAATGAGACGAAATCTCTCCCTTTTATTTTATTCGTTGTTTCTTCACTGATATTATTTTTTTTTCAAGATTTTTTTACGAAATATGTATGTATAACTAATAAAAAATATGGCTCGAAAACTTTCGTTTTTTTTTTCTCTGCCTATTCCTTGCACAAACATTACGTTAAAAAGAATTATTACTCAGGTGTATCTCAAGACGATAGATGTGTGTGAATCGAAAGCCGATGGTTATCTGACATACAATACACAAAAAATGAGAAAATTGTTTTTTTAGAATGAATTTTTTTTCTCCAAAGGCGCATATAATTCAATAATTATTAATTTTTAATTCATATTCACAGTTTATATAAACAGACGTTTCAATAAATAATAGAAAGAAAAAAAAAGATAAAAAATATTCTTAATGTACCATTCTTCTCTACTGACTAGCAGGAGGTACAACAAGCTGTAAAAAGTGTTTGATTCTTAATCATAACTCAGCTTGAGGTAAATTTGACTTTTCGCATACATCCTATATTAACTAGATACGTCTGCATGTGCAACTAGCAATAGTTAAATCGATTGCTTATCTGGTGCTAAATCGATAGTTGCAACTGAGGAGAAATCTAACAATCGTCCGATTACTAGATTTTCACTGTCGTTACCAAATAATTACCATCAAGTAAAAATCTAGTAATCTAGATGAATTGGGCGATACAAGAAAAACAAAACTTTTGTTCTAAACTCTTTTTAAAATAGATAGTTAATGCAGATGTATTAATTATTGTTCATGCGAGAACAAAATGTTACTTCTATTTTGGTATTTTAGTCGAAAATCAATCGGTAACTACGGTTCGTTCTTAGTTGTAGAAAAAAGTCTCTCTTGTTGCATCATCACTTTACTCGATTTTCTATCTTCAATGTCTTATTCTTCTCTGTCCTATGATTGATTTATGCATAATAATTATTCTTATTGCTTTAATATTCGTTAAACTTTTATCACCTCGAATATCGAGACACAATACCCATATGGGAATTCAGATACCCTCCGCGATGTGAACACGGGTTGAAAATCTTTTTTTACGTGTGTACACGGCAAAATAGTCTTGTTTTTGAGAATTCTACGTGCAAGCACGCATGGAAGATAATTTTATGTACGCGAACAGGCACAGACAGGAAAAGATTCTACGTGTTCACACGTGAAACATTTCGTTGACTCGTGAACGAGCGTGGAAAATAATTTTTCAAACAAAAACATGCGTGAGGTCTTATCCTTTTATGTGATCATAAGTGTAACAATATTTTTATAGTGTTAATGCCATAAATCACTACTTTTTCAAATGTTTACTCGTGAACACAGGTGAAACACTTTCTTTCATCTGCGAACACGAAGTAAATTCATGTCATCACTCGTAGCCACTCGTGAAAATTAGTTATTATTTATATTCACACTGAAAAGGATAAATGACTGATCGTTGACGCGCGTGAAGCATTTAATTGAAACGCGAACGCTCATTCTCTTAGTTATTTGCATCGGCACCATGCATGATAGAGAATTTTCTGCTTGTGTTTCCTGGTGAAAGATTTAAGTAAAGCCCCTTTCTAGCGTTCACATCCTTGGAAACAATTCTCTATGCTCGAACAGGATGCAGATGGATTCAATGCTTGGGTGTTCACTCCTATGAAAAATGTTTCATAGCATGTCAGAAATCAAACTCTTCCTTTTTAGTAGTCACATCGTGGATATAGTTCATGCAACCTCCCAGTAACTAGATGCACATTGGAAAAATGATAACGAATAACAACAATTGTAACTGTTGGTGATAACGTCTGAGTGTACAGCTTGTGGGAGGAGAACCCTTAATCTCTCATCTTCGATATGAAAAGTCTTTGATTTTTTCCTATCTTCCGAACAGCATCGGTGAGACTTTTTAGATTATTATTAGTAACAACTCTAGTGAATGTACTTGTATGCAGGCACTTGGTCAAGTACCATCGCAAGTTTTGCCCAACGTTCTTGCGCTTTTTCGCAAGTAAACCAAGTACTTGCCAAGAAAATCAAGCACTTGAATTGCTTTATCTTCTTGTCAAGTCCTTTGCCAAGCACTTGCGGAAAGTGACTTACTCAAGTAATCTCAAGTACCTGTGGCAGGTTCAACAAACAAATCAAGTACCTGGCAAGTGTTTTCAAGCATTTATCAAATGGTATTTCTTAAAAATATTTGTCAAGTGCTAGTCAAGTATCCGTGAAAATTTGCAAGTAAACAAATACATTCACTGGGGAGTAGAGGAAACGAAAGAGACAACTTATTTTTAACATTATGTGCATTCAACTAAAGTAGGGCATTGTAGAAAAATGTTTCATTTAATATTAAATCATGGTACGACGCAATTTTTTCTAATACATTTTCGCTACGAATGTATGCTACTTTTTCAGTTTCGACACGTCTTCGATAGAAAAACGGACAATCAATCTTCAAATGTGATAGATTCACTACTTTATCAATTAGGCACGTATTCCAGAACCCAAAGAAACGTCTTCAAGTGTAGTTTCAAAATTTTCGTCTGAATACTGTGATCTGTGGCCTTTCTTAATATATTTTTGATAAAAAACCGCCTGTTTTTCATTTTG